ACCATCAGGGTTGAATTTTCATCATGAAAGATTGTGTGAAAATGTTTTAAGGGCAGTCTCTGGCAAAAATAGCCATATTGCTTGCTGTTCTGAAAAAAACTTACTTAAATAGTTGATGTAAGTCTATGGAAGTACCATCTCATGACAATCCTGATTTAACGTAGCATTGAATTGCAAATTAATCCCGTGAAATACAAATTTTAGATGTTTTTGAAAACGTGCTTGTAAACAAAAGGTGTGCAGTCTCTGACTTGATCTGTAGAATTTTTTGATAGTGTTTAAATGGCATTCTGCTGGTGAATCATGGACATCCTTTACAGAGCAGCAGTATGGCACAGAGCTTGATGGAGGATCCACAACTGCCTCCGAGACAATGGTCATTTACTTATTGGCATTCTTGTAGCAGTTATCACTGTTTCACATTACAGTGTACCCATGAATAAGGTTATAGGGTTAGGCTGAGGCTTGGGAGATGAGGGATTGTGTCAAAATCTTTGCTACGCTTCACTTTCTGTTCTAAGTCAGTGACTCTCTCAAATGTGGTTCCATGGTACTTGAAACAAACATTTTTAAAAAAACAAGCTCTAACAAATGTGGTTGTAATGATTTCTTTTCCATATCACAAACCCTTATGCAGTAGGATCTACAGTCTCACTGTAAATCCAGAATATTCTGCTTTAACGTCAACAGAATCAGCAACAGAAAAAAAAACCCACCACAGATCTCAGTAAGGTTCATATATGTTAAAGCACAACTGTTGTTGATTTATCAAAAATAACCTAGGATTTTTTTGTTTAAGGTCTGGCTATATTTTACATCTAAATTATGTAATGGCTTGCCAATACATAATTTGCAAATACTGTAGCATGTTTTTGGCATCTTAAATTATGTGACAAAAATATTGCTGAGCTAAAAGCATAATGACAATATCTGGCTGTTTAGCTCCGACCTTATGTTTGTCATATTTTTTTTAACCTGTGAGTTGTCACTGCATCTCTTTGTCCAAAAAAACCCCCTTATTTTATTATTTCCCTGAATTTATCTTCTGTCTGTTCAAATAGATCTTGTGCTGCTGTTAAATGAACTTCTGAGAAAATAATCATAGATCATGAGATATCAAGAGGTATATTGAATATTCCAATCATTTTATTAGCATGTGTAATTTTACTTCTCGCTGCATGAGTAACATTAGGCCCCCTGGCAGTTAAGTAATTGAGTATATCGCATCAGTGTAATCACTGTCTGCTTAGCTGGAGAGTTGTGTGTTTTCTGTTTTGTTTTTTTAAAGAGAAGTTCCTGTGCTGTATTTCTGTGCTGAACTAAATCAAGCTATGCCTTTAGGAATTTCCCTCCTTTTTTGTGAGCACTTATTGAAACACAGATTTAGTAAATATGAAAGGTACTAGACTGACAGCTCAAGAAATAATTTATTGGCTCTGGATAAATATAGTAGTGCCATCAGGCTTCCTTTTTTACAACTTCATCACAACAAACTTGATTCCCAATTTTTAATTCTGAGGGAACCTCCAAGCAACTATAAATAGGTGAATAATTGCCTGTAAATATATTAATGATTAAATTTCTCTTTTCTCACCACCTGCTACCTTCTGATACAGCTGAGAAGTAGCACCAGTGTATTCCCAATATGACTTCAGGATGAGCCCTCCTGTCATTGCCAATAACAATCTCAGCACCCCAGGCAGAGTTCCCACATTGTGATTCCTGTGTGTGTCTGCTGAGGGGATGAGAGGAGACCTGCTTCTCATTTAGGATACCGTTGCCTACCATTACTTGCATGGTTTTGTTGATTTTTTTTTTTAATTATATTTCTGGCCCTTTTAAGGTATATTGTCTTTCATGTGGTTACAGATTAAAATCAACAAAACCTACAATATGATATTGATTATGAATTGCATAAGAATGTTAATTTATAATACTCTTCTTCTGCCTTTACAATAGACACTTCTAAACCAATTATATTTTCCTGTCTGAATAAAGTTATTTTTGTTGGTGGTACCAGTGTTGGTTAAAGTGATGTCAGGTAACTGAATAGCAACACCAAATCCAGTTTTCAATTTAAGAAAATAATATTCATATATGATGTATATTCTAAATCTAGATTACATTATAGGAATTAAACATGTTGACATGGTTCATCAGTGATGATGTCTTCAGATTTGAACAAAAATATAAACTCAGATTATATGGGGGTTTTGGGAGGAGGGGGTGGTGTTTATTATCTGAAATGCATCAGATGCAGAATCTGAAAGTGACGCAGTTTATAAACAAGTAACTGTGGAAATTCCCCACAGTGGTTTCTTGGCCTATTCTGTGTTTGGGCTGAGGGAAAATGAGTTGTGTATGTTGTCTGAGGATTTCTTGCTGAAGGCCAGTAATATGGATACTTGTTAAGGATACTTGGTGTTATAGACAAGTTAGGATAAGTCTCAGTTCAGTGAGTTGAAGTTAAAACAACTGATTATTAGTTCACCTGCATAAAAGGATTGCACGAAGAACACCACTAATATCTTAATCTAATCTTAAAAAAAATCCATGTTATAACCTTATCAGAGATACTGACCTACAAGAAACATGCAACGTGTAATTTTTTTGACTTTTTGTATTCTAAATCCATCAAAACTAAATTTGTCATCACGTTGACTATTTTTGTGCCTTGGAATATCAAAAAGATTTAAGCTCTGAGATATTTCTGCTTTTCATTGATCTAAAGAACTTTGATACATATTTCTGCTTTGTTACTTATTTGAGGGGGGGGCAAATGTACTTAAATCACAAATTGTATTGCAAAACCTCGTGCAATAAGAAAAATGGACCAGCCTTTGCTTTTTCAGATTTTCTGTTGTTGTGAAAAGTATCTTGTCATTTAGCTTGTGAATGTTAGACCTGATGTGGAAGTATATATTCACTTTACTGGCAAGGCTGGTATAGACACTGGAACAGGTTGCCCAAGGAAGTTGTGGATGCCCCCTCCCTGGAAGTGTTTAAGGCCAGGCTGGATGAGGCTTTGAACAACCTGGTCTAGTGGAAGGTGTCCCTGCTGATGGCAGGGGGGTTGGAACTGGATGATCTTTAAGGTCCCTTCCCACCCAAACCATTCTATGATTCTATGATTTAATGCTGAAACCCGTCCTTAGCAAAAGGTGAAACTGAATCAGGACTGAAGGCTAGAATTCCACAGAAAATGCAAAGATAATTCACTGAATGTTTTTTGTGTAAAAGTTCTACGTGACAGTGTGGAGAGACTTCTGAATTCTCTGCTTTTCTGTGCCAGTTCAACAGTCTGATTTTCATCATTCTTCCAACTAACCTGGGATTGTTTGGTGCTCGCTAGGAGAATCTGCTGCCAGGTCTGACAGATCAAGAGGAGGTATAGCACTTTAGGGGAAGAAAAAAAAAGTCTTATTCTCTGTTATAGAACTAAAACACTGTGTTGCTTGGCAGATGTGATTGTCACTAATGTGTTCCCAAGTGTCAACGTATGATTTCTCAAAAAAGGGTTCTTGTAGTTGCAAGGCTTGAAGGAACCCTGCATTTTTGGCCTGTACGTAGGCTGCTGACCAGCAGATGTAACTGCACAATGAGCAAATCCCTGACCATCTGTGTAATAAAACAAACATCTACTTCAATTTGTCACTTTACCACTAGTTCAATAGGTGGAACCAGTATGTCGTGGTCAAGAATTTGATTTATTAAAGACTGACCTAGAACTAAAAAAGTTTATGGAACTGCTCACTTCAAATCATTACCTGCAGTAATAAATACTGTTGCATACTTATTTTTAAACTAATAAAAGTGGCTACAGCCATTCTTAAATGCTGCCATGAGATCTGGCAGGAGTAGGACAGAATCAGCGGGAGGCACCAGCAAATAAGAACAGATGCTGAAGTTGCTACAGCAGTGGCCTTCCTGTCTCAAGAGAACATGCTGTAGTTGTTGCTAGACCCCATTCATTCTGAGCTCGTGGACTGTTAGTTTACCCATTTTCTTCAGGGTTTTTTCTACTTCACTCACTCTCTTTTCCAGTGTTCTTTGTCTTCCAGCAGTCTAGCTTACTTTAGATACGTTTCTGCTTGGTTTATCCAGTGTCAAGCAATTTTATCTGCACAAAACATAAGTCACACAGTAAACACTGGTTGCAGGTGATTGGTTAAAGCCTTTTGTCTCTGCCTCCTGTCTATTTAAATTTTAAGCTCTTCGGGGCAAAGGCCTTGGATGTATGTAACTGAGCATACAGAGACTAACATAAGAAGCTTTGCTTGAGAGTTTTGTCTGCATTTTAGGTAGGTAATCCTTAACAAACCCAGACTTTGCTTAGTCTATGAATGATGATTACTTTCCCTTATATTACTTTTCTGTCAAAGAGTTAAAATAATTTGAACCCTAATCTTAGAATTTAAAAATTTCAAAAACAAACAAAAAAATTTGATAGAATTAAACCAATAAGTAATGCCCAATTTCAGTGCTATAATACTTAAGCTTAATAAGTCTTGCTGACTTACTAGGAAAACGTGTTTCACTCTTTCTGGTAGTAAGCTGCTTTAAGAACTACAATCTAGACTAAATACTAAAGTGCCGTGTTGTTTGGGGAAACAAAGAAACTTCCTGTGGGATTTGCTGCTTACCATTTCAAGCTACAAAAGATTTGTGGTGATAAGATGCCTTCGGAAGTGGAGAGAAAGAAAAGACTTGACATGTATTAATGTCCTTTTGACAGTATAGCCAATTTGTGTGCCAGTTTACCACTTCATATGCCAACTTGAGGAGTAAATGATTCCTTCCTCTTGGTAATGTGCTCTTTATTTTTTGTTTTGATCATGCTATGCTAAAATAACTGAACACATATGTTCAAGAGTTGGAGCCCTGTGCTGTGTTCTATTGGAAGTGCCTGGATCCTTGTCATGTGGTAACACGGTGAGGAATTCCCTAAACTAATCACTTAGTTTCATCCTTGCATTGGTGTGCAGCAGGTCAGCACCCGTATGTCTCATAGTTGTTCCAATGTTTCAATCAAAGCTTCTGGTTTAGTTTTTGATGAGTACGAATTTCAGGAAAAACCTCATGTACCTGAACCAGCGTGTGGTGAGTGGAGATGACTTACATGAAAAACAAGAATTGCTTGAACCGAGCTGCCAAATTAGACATGTTCAATGCAGGTGCGTCCAGTGTAGATGAGGAGACTCGGCTCAATGAGGATGGGCTGGAATAGTGGGTTCCTCAAGGCTACCTTGATTTCAGAGCCAGTGTGCTGGATCTCAGTCCTTCCTCCTCAGTGGTAAAAACCTGTGGGAGACAACTGTTGGTCTGTTCCAGTCCCAGAAACGTGTATTTCATGTGGAAGAACTGTGGTTCAATCTGACAGGATGCTTTTTTTAAGTCCCTGAAGTAATAAGAGTATATTACATTATTTTTAAAATGATTTTTTCTTTAGCAGTGCTGTTTAGTTTGAAAAGCCAAGAACTCAGAGTCTGTAAAATAGAGTTTCTGGGTGCCTGCACAACCTTGTCTCTGTGCTTGATGAGAAAGTTTAATTATGTGGTCATGTACAATTTCTTTGTCACTTTAACCGCACAGACTGAGTATGTAACTAAATTTAGTGACACGGATAACTATAAAGCAGGTGTTTCCTAGCTGTGCAGTTAGAAGTTTAGAACTCAAACACCACTTTGTAATATCTCTTGCACAAAAATAGAAACTTCTGTGCTCTTAAAAAAAAAAATAAAAAAAAATTAATGCTGCTTGTAGCCACCTACAATCTTGGGAGTGTTTTTCTTTCTTTTAAATAACTCAAAGAAGAAACACAAGCAGAGGAGTATGAAACTGAGAAGCAATGTGAAAGGATGGTTAGATTCTCTGTAATATGGAGCAGCCCTGTGCTAAAATATTTGATGGGGTATTGCTGTGAGAAACATGGTCACTCACAGCACAGTCCAGTAACCTGTGTTTCACTTCAGTAGTGTATAAGGAGACATTGCACGTGTTAGAAGACTAAATAAATATTTGAACATGCACTGTAAGCTGTTAAGATGGCCATAGCAGATTTTCCTGGAAGGTTTTTTCATCCCTCTCGAGCTATTAAACAGTGGGCACATTGGTGGCAAGGAAACGCTTCCTTTATGCTTTTTCTGAATTTGTTCTGCAGTCCGAGTTTCTCATCCAAGCACTTTGCAATTTTGTGACAGCATAAAAGCTGCAACTCTGTATCAGTGCTCATTCTCCTTTCAGTTTCAGAAACTTCTCACTATTACTTCCCTTCAGTCAAATTACTGTCACTTCACTTGCAAAGGGCTCTCTTTATCTTTGCCATGTCTCCTATTATATTCCCTGGTGTAGCAGGTGCTTGGGAAGAGGTACTGGTTCTTATTTATGTGCAGTCTTTCTGATCATGGTTATATGTGGGATTATATGCTATATAATTAGAAAAAAAAAAAAGAAAATTGTATTAGAAAAATATTTTTCTAATATATAAATTGGACATAACTGTATTGATACCAAAGGTGTATCTATCCCAGGATTCTCTGTTAAAAGCTAATAATATCTTTTAACCGATTACTTGTTAACTTGTTTTGCAGCCCCATATTTTTATGGAAAATAATGAAAACAAATTGTGTTCTCAGTTTTCTATACCAGGCTGATGAAACCTATTCTGTATAATCTCCTCTTATACTGAAAAATTCTCCTGCATGTGCATGTACTCCTTGTGTATGTTGTACTGTATCTTTTTTGAGATAAGCCAGGAACTGCATGCAGTATCAAGATACGGGTATGCAATGAAATGACTTCCGGTTCTCTGTTCCTCGCACTGTTTTGTGCCTTTCAAAAAATCAAGAATTTAGTAGTATGGCTAGATGAATCTCAGTTTTGAAATGTCAACATATTCACTTATGAGTTACTAATACATTGAAGCCAGAGGAGCATGTGAAAGTGAAATCCTCACAAAATTGTGCCTAAGATAAATGGGAGGCAACACTGGAAACACGGAAGTAGAACTAGCTGCACATGTAATATTGCTGAAAATGCAAAGTGTGTGTAAGACTTTTCCTTCAGTTTTTTTAATCATAAGCTACTATTGCTGCATAAGCAATATTAATCGTGAAGATGAAGTTCTAGTAACATCATTTAAGTTTATTTAAATGTGAAAATTCTAATCAATCAGTTTCTAAAGTAAGTGCTTCTGAGCAGGAACATCAAAAAAGCTTATTTCTTAAAATGATCTCTTGCTTCTTTAAAAACTTCAAGTGATTTGCTCTGTCTGCATATTGACTCCATGCTCAGATTAAAAAGGCTTATATTCTTCTAAAAGTTTCATTGGTTTGAAGGAGCTTTTCTAGATACAGGTTTTACAGTTAATATTCCAGGTGATTTGGAATTAAATTTCAGCTGTGATGTTGTATTAAAATGTAATGTTGTATTAAACAACATTACAACAGTAATGTTTAATACAACATTACAACAGTAATGTTGTATTAAAAATATTTGGATGATGATATTTTAGATGTCATTAAATACTTAAAGCTTATTTTCTACTAGTATTTTTTTGAAATATTGATGTGGATGGGACTGATGTGGACATGGAAAACTTCTTTGTCCTGGGATCACCATATGTAGGTGTTTCTGCAGTCTTTGAGACTACTTTTTTTTTCTTTTCCAGAATCATCTTGCATCTGACAGACTAATCAATTTTACCCATGTTCTGTGTGTTAAGCTCAGATTTGTGTTTAGATGACTAAAAGCGTATCTTTAGGATCAAGTCTGAACATTTAATTTTATCTTTTCATTGACTTTGTAGGACTCTTTATATACTTACTGTTGTGCTAGGATGTTTTTTCACTTAGACTTTGCTAAAGCATTACTAGGCAAACTGGCTGGGAAAATCTGTACTTACTATGAGTTAGGAGAGCATATCTGGGTTTTCTTTTCAATCTAGTTTCTAAATAAAATTTTGGAACACTTTGAGCAAACAGAAACCCAACACCAATATCATGGATCAGCATATTTTCATGAAAAATGTTATAACATCGAGATGAGGTTCAGGTGTAAATTTCCCAACCAAGCCTTGCATTTCAAATTCAACATGCTGTGCATACAAAGTGCGAATATAAAAATGATTGTACTGGATCAAATAAAAGACCAGTCTGTTCAAGCAGCATGCCTCTGATAGTAAGCAGTAATGAATGCTTAGGGAAAAGTGCAAAAACAAGGCAAACATGATATTAATACTATTTGACTACCTTACTGCACACTGCTGTAACCTGACAGCTTGAGCTTTTTGGTTTTCCTTTTGATCAAGGCTTAAATTTATACAAGATACCTTCTTACTTCTAACAGCTTCCCCTCCAAACTCTGATTTCCTAAAATTCTTTTCTTTTGAACTTTCAATGTATTGTCTTTTAATCATTGTCTTACAGTCAGTAAAGATTTTTATCTTTCTGTTTAAAAGAAACTAAGCTGCAAACGACTTCTTCATATTTTCATAGTTTCCCTTTTAAATTAACTTTAGTAATGGAGTACTTCTCACTTTTATTGTTTCTGAAGAGATAGTGAATTGAAATACCCTGTGATTCATGAGCAGTCATGGATAGTGTCTACTATTTAGTCTTCACATAACACCCCCAATCGGTTTTCCAGCCTAAACTGATTAAGCAAAGAATTCCTATAATCTTACTTCTAGAGGAGTTGTCGTCTTAAATCATCTGTGGTTCTGCATTTAGCAGCTTTCCTTGCTTCCTCAGTCTGTTAACCCTTCCAAAGCCATTCTCATTTTGAGTGCCAGCAACGTGCTTCCATTTTGATTGAGATGAAGTCAATCTTGTGTATGGAGGAACACTATTCCAGAAGTTTCCTTCTTTTTTCTTACGATATTTTCTCCGTTGTACATTGGGTTGCTCGTCTTCAAAAGGTACCCAAATTGCATAATTTTCACATCTAGATTTTATTTAGCATAATAGATAAACGCATTTTATAAATTTTGTGTTCACTGTGAAAATGCCTCTGGAATAGAAGTCATTGTTCAGTTTAAATAAGGAATCGCCCTACTTGTTTGTAAAAAGTTGTAAGTACATTTGATATATGAATGTTGTGGAAAACTATATACTCCTCAGTCTTTCTCTTTAGAAAGATCTAAACCCCCTGGGGCTATTCTAATGCTGCTTTGCAATGAATTAATGAAAAATTGCTTGGAAGAGAAGTCATGCTATCTTCCAACTCTTTATTTACCTTTTAAATTTTATTATTGACAGGTAATGGGTATCATTTCCTATTTTAATAGGACTTCTGGCTTTCATAATGGAAAAGTGCAATCCTTGCCCCACAGTGTCTCAAGGCATTGTTTTCAGGGAACTGTTTTCAACAGTAATGTAATTAGATATGTATATCATATCTAATGTGAAATTCTATGGTTTTTGTCCAAGGGTACACTAAGGGACTTCAACTAGACTGTGCTAATGTGATTTTTGTCAGGCCAGACTAGAAATCACAGCTGGTTTTATATTGTCTATTGAGTACTGCAGTCCTGGTCCACTCATTGTCCAGAGCAGAGAGTTGGTACATGATATAATTGTCTGGCCTACAACCTCTGGATTTTGTTTCTGTAGAAGAAATGCCAAAGCTGCTTTTTAACCTGTGTCTTTCCAAGACGTGTGGTTGGGGTGTGGCTGGACACATATACGGCGGCAGAATTTTCATGGTGCTCTTGAGTCTTCCAGTTCAACTATAACCTACAGTACTGCTCTTTGGATTGGTGGCAGTAGGGTGGGGTTCTGACATTTGTATTTTGTGGACTAAATCTTTGTACCAGCCTCCAGTTATCAACTGCTGATAAAACAAAATCAGGAAAAGCCTTAGAACTGATTTCTTCAGAATGGGATTGTATCAAAGACTGTCTGTTCATCATGTGATGGAAGTTGTAGAACTGTGCCAGCAATAAAACTGTGTGCATCTTTTCTGTGCAGAGTTATCCCGCTCTGCTCAATATTGGAATAAGGGAGCCTTTCTTTAACCTCAAAAGGATTTTGCAGAAAATTCTTTCATGTGAAAGCTGCCATTTTCTTTAATGTTTTGTAAACTGATCTGGTGGAAAAGAGAACACAAACCTCATTATTGTTTGAGCTTGACTTTCTCAAGCTCTGCTAATTTTTTTTAAATAAGCCTTTTGATTTTAGTCGGGATGTTTAGCTTTAGTTAACTTTGTTCCATTTTTTCATTCAGTTCATTGAGAATACCAGCCCTGCAACCTACATCTTTATCTTTCTGCCTCTTGTAGCTAGAGTTTGCAGAATTCAGCATCAGCAGTGGATGGCCTGATCTGAAGTAAGGCTTTGTGATACTTTAGCTTGAGAATGGTTCTTAGAAATTATAGAAGAACGGAGTGACAGGCAGCTCATAAATGTCACATATCCTAGACTTCAGGAAGCAAAATTGAGGCTACTTCCAAAAATAGTGCCAAAGGAAGGTGATGTTTCATTGTACCAGTTCATTTTATTTGATGGGCATCTGCAGCGTACTGTGTGGATGACCCTCCCCACTGCTGGGCACTCTCATGATCTGCATTCACTCTGTTGTGTACCAGCATCACATGTTCCTCTCTGCAAAGCTATCTTCTACCCTTCTGTCCTGCAGCCCACACTCGTGTGAGGAGTTATTCTGCCACAAGTGCAAGGCTTTGCATTTGCCTTTATTAGACTGGATGAGGCATCTGCCAGTCGAGGTCACTCTGGCTGACATCCCATCCCTCCGGCATGAGAGTTGTCTCTTCACTCCTTCCAACTTGGTGTTATCTGTGCACTTCCTGAGGGCACATTCTATCCTGTTTTCCAGGTTGTTGGCTTTAGCGTTACTAAACGATAATGATTCCAGTGTTGGCCCTGAGAAATACCACTCATAGCTGGTTTGCCAGTTGTACTTCAGGCTGTTGAACTCTCTTCTTTGACCCTGATGGTGACTTTGAACCACTTTTCCAGCTGCTTTCTAGTCTGTTTTTTCAGTCTAGTGTAGAACAAACTGTGTTTGTTGCATTGATAATGTGATAGGAGCTAAGCAGAAACACAGTTATTTCATGCAAGTGTTTAAAACTGAGAACTAAAGCCTGAAATAGCAAGAGATCTGTATTGCTTCTTCGTTAAAAGAGTTTGTTCAGCGTTTCTGAGAAACCACATCCTTTTGAAATATCTTGGGTTGGGAACCAGAGTTACTTTCAAAAAAGCAGACAGTCATTCTCAAGTAAATACCTGTCTTCCAAGATAGTCTCAGGGACTTATGACACAGGTTTTGGTAGTTAACTAATAATTTTCAGGATTCTTGGTTCACATCCCACTTGAATTTTCTGGTCTTTTTAAAGATTTCATTTGGTCAGACATAGTATGCATTTTTGTAGTGTGCTGGTTTTTCTTATCTTCTGCAGGCAGGTTTGCATAATGCAGCCATGGATTGTTAAAAAAACTCCAGTTCAGGTATTAAGTTTCCATTGTCAAACATATCTCATCTTTCTGCTCTTAGGCTGGGCTAAATTGCATCCTTATTTTTATAGCTAAATAAATTTGGCATTGGTTTTTGAGACTTCATTATCTTTTTAGCTAAGATGTAAATGTGGAACTGGAGAATATCTCAGTTACTGTGCTTGCAATAAATAATATTTGTATATAAGAATTGTAGTTCTTTAGCAAAATAAATATGTAAATTTTCTTTGCAAACTTGGCTTTAGCATTACAGGTATTTTGTACAATGAAATTGGGTTCTAATGTAGCTGTTAAACAGGAAAAGTAATGTTTACTGGGTTTGTACCTTGACTTGCTGTTGTGCCCAGAATTGGAGGGAAAAAAACCCAAAACAGTTGAGCAGAACAAAGACTGATAGAGGAGGGACAATTATCATTGATATTCAGTTGCATTTTAAATGTTCTGAATTATGTAGTGGGTAATATATTTTTGAATTCCTTTCACTTTTCTATTTTCTGTTATAAATGCATATCAAACAATAATCTCTTAGCATTTTAAGTCTTTTTCTGTATTAATTATATGCAGTAGCATCTGGTAACACTGAACTATTTTACACTTCTTGCAACACCTTAATTTTTAGGAGCATGACGAGAATAGCAGTGAGTATTTTTTATGTCCTCCTACTGCAGGGAAATTTTTGACTAAAAATGATTTTTTCTTTTTTTTGCTTCTAGATCTTTCAAAGAACAGATTTACTGAAATTCCTCCTGATGTCTGGCTGTTTGCACCACTGGAAACTTTAAATTTGTATCACAACTGCATCAAATCCATTCCAGAATCTATTAAAAACTTGCAAATGCTTACCTACCTTAATATTAGGTGAGTAATGCTTTGTTATTTTTGGTCTTTATATGAACTTATCTCATTGGAGAGGTGGCATTCTACTTCATCAGGTTGTTGAGTGCACTTCTGGCCTCATCTTTGCCCAGAAAGATAAAATTATTCTGTTTCCCTTATCTTTGTGGTGGTTTAGAGCCAGCAGTTGTTGCTTCCCTTGTGGGAAGGAATTGACTGCATTACGAAATTTCAGTCAGTAAACTCTGGTAGCTGAGGATAAGGAGAGTTTACAAAGCTTGCTTTGTTTTTAATGGTATGCAGACAGGCAGTGTTTATAAACTACATGTGTCAAAATTTGCTGCTCTCAAGAGGATAGGTTACTCTAGCCAGAAGACCCTACTCATTTTGCAGATTATTTACATCCATTGCTGTATTGCTGTTCTTAAAGCTAGAGAACGTAGTTGGCTTTTCTCAGAAGAAGAGAAGATGAATATGAGCTCGGGAAGGAGAGGGAGTCTAGAAGAACCCTCCCATAAAGAGGCGAGACTCTATTTTCCACAATATTCCTTGTTTCTTAAATTGACTACATCAAGTCCAAAATGGTTTTCTCAGCTAAGAGCTATTTAACATGTGAGATTTGGTTCCAGAATTGATTTTGAAAAAACTTTGTGAATTGGTCCTTGGAAAAGAAAAAAAGTAAAAACCAACCAAACAACCCTCCCACACACCAAACCTATGTCTCAAAATCTGCAAATATCAGCAGTGATAATTTAAGAGTAGTCTGTTCTGTGGCAATTCTAAAGAGGATTAATGATATGTTAAAACTGAAAGAAACTTGACCTAACTTTCTTCACAGAGCAGCAACAGCCCATTTCTCTTTTGATGTTAATCAAGGTGATGAATACAATTCTTCACACAGAAATAAGTAGCATGTAGTTCTAACTGGGCGTTGCATGTTAAGAGTCGTCTCTTCTAATCATAGTTTGCCTTACCGTGCTTTGTCTTAATTTTTTTGCTGGTGTCTGAGGACTATTTTCACAATACATGAACACGTGGACTACAGGAGTTGAAGAACAGGCTGAAATCCTGGTTTTCTAGTTTCAATATTTTGTTACGGAAGAAAACCACATGATCTCAGATTCTAATTTTGGATTCAGATGACTGAAGAAATGTATTGTGCAATTCATAGTAAAGTACGCAGCTCTTTTGTGGGGAGGGGGGAAACCACCACAAAATGCAACAGAAAACCAGTGGAAATTTATTTAAGTAGTGATGCAGAGAATGACTGTTTCATTGCCCCGTTTTTGTAATCAATTTTTAAAAGTTTATGTGCACTTTATATTTTTGCTTCTCATGCTCTCCAACCAAAAGCCTCTCTTATCGACCTGAAATACAACATTAAAAAAGAGACTTGCTGCATAACTGCATCCAAAGTTTATTTGAATTGTTCACTCAAAACTAAAAGAATAAATACAGAATTTTAATAAAGATACTGATAGACGTTTACTTTAATTTTATGTTAAATTGCAGTACTACTTTGAAGCTGAAATGTTGAAAGGACATAAATTTATTTTTGTTGGTTTTGCAGCCCTATGAACTGTAGTCATGCAGCAAAATAATGTAACAAGCTGTGAGGTTTTTTAACTATGAAAACAGTACTTTGATACATATCAATTAAACAGTAAAACTTCTCAATATCTGGACACAAGTGTCAGCACTTAAAAGGTTGTGGGGTTTGTTTTTTGGGGGGTTTGTTTGTTTGTTTGGTGTTTTATTTGTTGTTCTTTGGGGTTTTGTTTTTTTCCCACAATGGAACTTCTGGCCTCTATACTAGAACTTAAAGCAACACTTATTACTGATTTTTTTTCTTAAAGTACAAAAGGAATTGCTTTCATATGACATTAACAAGCTTTTCTTTTCCAGTGGCTTTTTAAAATGTGCACGTAACTTATTAGAAAAATTCAATGTATTTCTGGCAGTGGCATTCTGCAGTTGGTAGTTTTTGCAATATGGATTTAAATCAAATTTGCAGTAACAGTGTATCTCTTGTGTACACAGCAGACATGCATGCAGTTGGAAAATAATATACACAAAAGAAATAAATTTTAATTAAAGCTTGGCTTCCAGACTACTGTTCAGCAAAGCAATAAGTATATTTTAAGGGCTTTTTGTGATGGCTCAGGAGTGACATAACCACTTGACATGAGAAGCAATGGTCTCATTTAAAGTTCTGGTTTGCTGAGAACATTAACTTTATATTGGTAACCTGTCAGATCAAGTGGTCCTAAAGATATCAGAAGGCAGAATAAAAGCAAATATCAAGCATAGTATTTCTTTTAACAGATTCTTCTGTACTATGTACTACAGTACTTCTGTACAGTACTAACATTTTCATGTTAGATTCAGTCAGAGTACCTACTTGTTTCATTCCATGAATATGATGAAATCTGATAAGGGATTAATGATTGAGATTGTAGCTTGAATTTAGATAAAATTGTAATAGATGGAGAGTATCTTCTGGGATAGGAGAAAAGTTGTACAATGGGCATCTCGGACTTCTTGTCAGGCTTAAAAATAAGATTATAATGTAGCTTTGCTTGTTCATTTTTCTTTCTTTCAAGTCGAAATCTTTTATCAACGTTGCCAAAATACCTGTTTGATCTTCCACTTAAAGTTCTGGTTGTCAGTAATAATAAGCTGGTCTCCATTCCAGAAGAAATTGGAAAGTTGAGAGATCTAATGGAGTTGGTAAGTAGTATTATGAACCATTTTACTAAGTGAACTTAAACTATAAGCGGCTTATTTACATTATAAGAAAAATATAAATTAATAACTTTTAAAATATAGAACTACAAAATGTAAATTTAATTACTGCTTTTTCTTAGTGTTTGAACCCAAATTACGGGTGTAATATATTATAGAGTTTCGAAAATGGGGTTAAACACAAATCAGTATGTTGGGTTAACTGAAGCTTGAGATGTTTATAAATAAAATCACTCTTCAGATTATTTCCTTGCTTGTATGTTGTGAAAAATGATGAATTTTTTTTTTTTCCCCTACAGTAGTTGCAATTCTATTTATTTTTCATGTATGTTATCAGGAGTCTTCTTTCCAGCTGAACAGTTCATGTATTTACTGTGTACTTTTATGCAAGTTATGCCATTCATACATTGTTGTCTTGTTCTGGGGGGGTTTGGTTTGTTGGGGTTTTTTTTCCATTTCTGGTCTTCCTTTATTTTTATTGGGGTGAACAAAATGATGTGTGATATTCACAGTTTGTGTCTGCGCAACATGATTTTATCCTGTGGCATTCTAAAGTTTGGTGCTTTGTCATCCATTGCTTTCTCTATATTTCTTAATATTCTGTGCTTTTCAGATCATTACTCTGTTAAGCTTGTGTTTTGGAGAACTATACACAATTATTCACAGACCTGGCACTTGGACTAGGTCTGGGGTTTGTGGGGTTTTATTTTTATTTTCAGTGTATATGATTTCTTTGGTCATTGCAAGTAATCCTTATCCTGTTTCCAGAGTAGCTGTGTATGCCCTGGAGATTTCTTTTTCTGTTCTATAAATCAATATTCTTTTTTAATTTACAAGTAATATGAGATAGTCTGAATGTTTGTGAGGCTTTTCTAGTGTCCTCTACTCTTTGGTGAGAAATTCATCATGCTCACTTGAGTGTTGTAGGATTTCAAGGTGGGATCACTGCTGTTGTTTACAGGAAGGGAATGTTTTTCTGAATTGCATTTGTAGTATTTTTGACTTATTTTTTAAAATTGTGAAACCTAGAATGTGTGCTTGGTGACAGATATTAAGGACGTACTAGAGAGTTTCATTCCAGTACCTGTGTTACAGCTGCTTAGAACATAAGTTATATATACTTTAAAAAAAGAAGTTGACAACTAAGCCACACACTAGAAAGATACTTTTAGGAAGGGAATCTCATCTTAAATTTGGTGATGTGGACAGAGAAGAATTTGCAATAGATACACAACAGTTGATCCCAAGCAGCCTGTACTTTGAGACATCCAGCTATGTGCAGACATCATGGTTGCCAAAAGCAGATGAGCAGGGTCTAAGCTGAAGCTCTGGAAGTGAATAGTGGAGAAGGAGACTGGTTCTGGTCACTGACTCAGCTTGTCTTTAAAAATCAGCTTCCAGTTTTTCATCAGCTGGATAAATATTTGTCATTGTTGTCTAGCCTAGGAAACTAGTCTCTGGAGTCAGTTTTATTGGATCAGAAATAAAAAAGGTTAGAAAGGGTCTTATATCAAGGTGATTGACTCAGACTGGACTACATAAATAAATGTGAAATTAGTGGCAGAAGTAGCTGTTGTCTGTGTTCACTTGGTGCAACTTTGTCACCCTCTAGTGCTTGTATCCAAAAAGCTGGTGAGTCTACTATTGTTCTTTATAAATTTTTATTTGCATGGGTTGGTTCAAGGTTCTCTAAGGAAGAAGAATTTTTATAAAAGGTGCAGAATGCCAATTATTTGTCAACAGTAGCACAAGAAGTTTTTAACTAGTACAGGCACTCACTACCCCAGGAACTCCTGATTCCTAAGCCACAGTTATAATTTCAAAACCAGTCTTTCATCATTCATTGATTTACCTTTTTGAATTGAGTTTCTGAAACATGAATTGCTAAATACTGAAGAAACAGTGAGATCTGTTATGGTACTTCTTCCCTTTGTGGAAAAAGCAAGAAAGATAGGTTTTCCTATGCTTAATTTCATTTAAGATGTTCAGTTAATTTATTAATTATATCTTTCTTAGGATATTAGCTGCAATGAACTTCAGGTTCTTCCCCAGCAGATAGGAAAATTGCAGTCACTTAGAGAATTAAACATAAGAAGAAATAATCTCCATATGTTGCCAGATGGTAAGCTACTAGTCTTAATTTCTTTGATGTAGGTAAACTAGGTAAAGTGTTAAGAAGATATCTGATTTTTTTTTTTTTATCATTTCCTCCAATACAGAATTAGGAGACCTTCCCTTGGTAAAGCTGGATTTTTCTTGTAATAAAATTACAGAAATTCCAATTTGTTACAGGAAGTTACGTCACTTACAAGTTATAGTTTTGGATAACAATCCAATGCAGATACCACCAGCACAGGTTAGTATTAAAGCATTCTAGTTCAGTAATTTGCATTAGGATCATAAGAAAGAGGAAGCTGTTCTAAGTTATACCAATCAGGTTTTCATATTTTTTAGCTATATTTCTCTTAGTGGGAAGTTGTGGGTAGAAACCCAGGGTAGAAAGTATTTATTGGGGTGCATTTTCAAAAAACATGCTATGTAATTAAGGCTTTCTTGTTGTTGTTGTTTGATTATTTCCCAACAGATATGTTTAAAGGGTAAAGTACATATATTTAAATTCCTCAGCATTCAGGCGTGCCTCAGAATAGATAAAAAACCAGATTCTTTGGATCTTCCGTCATTAGGTAAACGAATCCCCTCCCAGCCACTCACAGACAGGTGAGCAGTGGGTTTTTTGTTTTATTTTACTTTAGCATTTGCTATGAAGTTATCTGTTTATTACAGATAATTGCTGTAATTTAAATACTTTAATTGTTCTTTATTTAGGAGTCATGGTGTTTATTTTCTGAGGTCATGCTACCAAAAGATTAATTGGCTCATCTGAGTTGCTATGAAAAATTTTCACTGTACACACTGAAGACTTGGAAATCAGAACAGAGATGTATTTTAAATTTATCTGTTGGAAGACTCAGCTATTTATTTCCTAAACAGATATGTCAAAACACTAGATGAGAAGTTCATAAATGTCCTGAATATAGAGTTAAGTCTGTTGGATGGAAAGTCTGCCTCCCACATATATATTAAGGGAAACTAACTTAAATATCAGTGAAGTACCATGGATTTTTTTATTAGGCTACTCGAGGTCAAAAAGCGCAGAATATTTTGTTGGACTTTTGAACTAGAGCCTCTTGAGTGATTCAGTGGGAATGCTTTTTTATTTTCTGTTGTCAGTTGGCTTGCTATTGAAAACCATATGGAAGAATACTCTCTTTCTGCCTGTTTTCTTAAAATGTCACATGTAACTTGTGTCTCTCTGTGTTCAAGGCTGAAGGAAAGATGAAACTTATGAATAAAAATTACACAGACCCATCAGATTTAGTCCTTGGTCTTGGGCAACTATGCCACAGAATTAGTCCACAGCATCTGTAGATAGCTTCTAGATGTAGATAGCTTCTAAAAAAACTGCATTCCACAACGGCTCCCCCCAAAAAAAACCTCCACTGAACTTAATTCCAACAACTAAAATGTAGGAACAAGGTCATGGGTTTTACCACTGTACATCATATTTATAGTAGTGAGAGCTTGTTTAATTAGACTTTGCAGATAATCTCATGATGTCAACCAAGCTCCAGTGCACAGCTGCAAAACACATCTTGCGGATGCTGCCAATTTTTTTGTCTTCAGAAGGCATACATTTAGAGGAGGTATTTCATAGGTACTCAGGCAGAGTTAAACCGTTATAATATTATAGTCTATTAGGGAATATATATTTGCTACTAGTAGAAAAACATTTCTGCCAGAAGAATTCAAGGAATTGCATTTTTTCAAAGCAAGCTGCCTTTTCTGAAGACTATTTTTGAATGAAATGGAACAATTCTAAAATTGCATAGAAAAAAGGAGCATACCATAACTGATCGTTTCCACTTTTAACTTCACTTTGTTGTATTTTTTTTCTTGAACAACTCTTGTAGATTAAGACTTTGTTCTCTGCACATGGGCCATTGTACAAAAATTATGTATCAGCAACTGTAGATGAGTATAGAAAACACATTTTTAAAAGAATGTTAATTTTCTTGTCAAAAAGTAAAACTACTGTTTCTTTCATTCCTGTGTGATTTTTTGTGTGCTGTTTTTCTTAATGTAGCATTGAAGACTTTTATCCCAATAAAAATCATGGACCAGACTCTGGCATTGGAAGTGATAATGGGGATAAAAGATTGTCCACAACAGAAGTGAGTATTTTTTACTGTTGACTTTGTGTAATTTCTGGGTTTTAGACATTTTTTCCTTTATGTTTTTTATCATTTGAGAAATACTTAACTAAGTTGCATTTAACTTTCTTTGAATATTTATACACTTGAGTTTAAACAATTAGACTACCAGTATCATACACAAATTATTTACATACTGCTTTGACTTCTCTGGTTAAGGTTTACTCCAGTCCAAATTTCATACATTTTAAAACTGAATTCTGACTTAAGGAATTGTTTGGGTATTTTAATGTGTGAAGTGTATAATCCTTTTCTACATATAGGACAAAACAAGGGTCAAAGTAGTTGGAGGCTTTAGATAAGAAAGTACCAAAGCACAGTTTTCTTAGTCCACTGAGTGGGGCTGTACTGGACCTCTTTGAACATAATACTGTATTTCAGTATTACATTACATACTGAACAGTTGTCTGTCACTCACTAAACTATGATTCTCTTAAATTCCCTTCCCACCCTGTCAAAAAACAAAACCAAAACCCCACCCACAAAAGAACCACACCTGGCTTGATGTTATTTTCTCTGTCCTGGGAGTCATCCCTTATGATGGGGTCAGTTGCACTATAATTTGTGAGTTCTTAGCAAATAATGTAATAATGTAATATATATGCAAGTTCTCTGTTAAATGTGACTCTCGTTGCAGCCATCTGATGATGATACAATCAGCCTTCACTCCCAGGTATCAGAATCAACAAGGGAACAGACGTTAAGGAATGACAGTCATGTAACGGGAAGTAAACTTGATCCACAGAAAGGTAATATCTGTTGTGCATCTGTCATTTTAAGTAACAAATACTTTTGCTTAGATAAACTGATATAAGAAAATTGCACAAAATTATATGATCACATGTTGACAATGTATTTTCATCATTGTAGAAAACAGGGTAATAATAACAAATAGATAAGGCCAGAAGGAAAGAAAAGGGATTATTTTTAGCTCAGGGAGACATGATTCAATTGTTTTATCTTTATCTAACATTTTTTATAAGTAGTCTCTCTCAGGAATAGCATTTGGTTGAGAGAACTGTTTAATATAATCCTTTCCATTATTCATCAATCCTCACTAGACCAGGAGGTGTATGACTACATTGATCCAAATGTGGAAGAAGGAGCTGCTGTTCCTGAGCAAGGAGATGTACAGACTGGACCATTGCTGTCTTATATCAAGGTAGTATAGCTTGACAAAATCACTCTTCAGCAGGCTTGGGGTTTTTTTAATTCAAGTCTAAGTTTGTTTTTCATTCTGTGTAAGGATCGAGGAAAACATCCTGAGAAATCCCAGAAAATAGAACAGAATGAGGACTGGGGAGATGAAAAAAGGTAGATTTTCTTGATATTTTTGGGGATGGTTTTACTGACAGTGGGGGGGTGAGAGTGTTTTGGTTTTGTTTTTTGGTTTTTTTTTTAAGCTCCTTGCATATGGAGGAAAGAAATCTCATATTGAACACAGAGTGCTCCTTCTTGGGCAGGAAATAAGCTTATAGGAAGTGCTTCTTAGTTATTGTCAATAATATAGCCATTTCTGTGTCTTGCTTTACTGAAGTCAGGCAAGTCACTAATGTTTAATTTTTCAGACTTCAGAAAGAACAGCTGCTGGCTGAAGATGATGATGAGCTCAAAGAAGTGACTGACTTGAGAAAAATAGCAGCTCAGTTACTGCAGCAAGAACAAAAACACAGGTATTGCAATATTAGTTGAGATAATTTGTGTTACAATTGATTTATTCTTTAACCTGCTTTAATACCCAAAAGCTCTTGACACTTTATGATTTGGAGAACAGTTTTGTCCAGCTGTTAAACAGTCAAAAGTGACACTATTTTCAAGATGCCTCTTCTGTGTTTCTTTTAACAAAATTGTTGTACAGAGAAGCGGTGACATGTCTCCCACAGAGAGGAAGAAATGAATGTGAAAGTGTGAAAGTCTCTTGATTTCCTGGTTTGATATAGGTTAACTTTTTAATATTTTTTTTTTTTCCAAAGCAGTATACTTAAGTAGGCATGGTTAATGCTCATGTAAGTAGATCATTAGTAACATGTTAAAATGACGTTGTCTTAGTTTGTGTGAATTACAGAACCTGCTCACTATTTGTGGCTTGTTATTTTTATTCAAATACAAGGTAAGTTAGGTGGTACTTCCTCTGTTCAGTCTGATGCGAGATACAAATTTGGACCGAAGGGGAAATTTAGTCAAACATTCTGACAAATGATAGAGCATATTTTTTAATATATATAAATAAAATAAATACATGCAAAAAATAAGTACTTTGAACAGTGGAATAAGTTCATCCTGATGAGCTGCCTGACAATCTCCACTTCAGGTTGGGCATCACAACAGAATGATTCTTGAAAAGGAGCTGTAGAACAAGCAGCAGATTAAAGGAATGTAATGAAACAAGTTAACAACTGAGTAAAAGGAAGAGCAGGAAGGAATATCTGGAGTTGCATAGGATGTGGAGAGCCTAGAATAGGAACTGTGTTCTCTCTGGTTCCTTTACCAAGCAGGCAAATAACCATTGAGGTACTTTGGCAAGAGTAAGCTCTTTCCTGAAAGGTAAAAGTTGCAGTTAATAGTAGTTCATTAACTAAAATAGTTTATTACAGTCATTCATTATCCCACAGTAATGGGTTTAATTTCGTACCAGCTTAAATACTATTTTAGTTTCTTTTGAATTTGTGTAATGATGAGATTCTGCACTGCTGTCATTCTTTTAAGATAGTTGAAGTGCATGTGAAGCCCTTAGAGAAACTGATATCCTGATACTATGAATTGCAGAGCTTTAAAAATTCACCAGTATTTTATATTAGTTAAATATTAAGGGGGTGGGGGGGGCTTAAAATAGGTTTTACTTACAACTCCATGTAGTGTATTCAAGAATTGATTGTTCACATTGAGAGGGGAAAAATAAGAATGAAATCTTGGTGCTATACATTCTTATTACCAAAAGTAAAAGAAGACTAAGAATGCTAAACTTTCTCATATTAATTTATTAATAAAGAGAGATTAAGTCTGTTTTTCTTATATTGGCTATTTATATTGCATGTGGGTCTTGTTTGATTAGTTTTAATATTTCCTGGTTATCTAATCACATATTAATTTATTAATAAAGAGAGATTAAGTGTGTTTTTCTTATATTGGCTATTTATATTGGCATGTGGGTCTTGTTTGTTTAGTTTTAATATTTCCTGGTTATCTAATCGTTTGAAATACCAAGCCACTCCTCTTCTGAAGTACTGCAACTTAAATTTTGTTTATCATATGTTGTTGTATCTTAATGCAGCAGTCTTGCCAGTGGTTCTGCTTTGCTCTTGAATTGTTCAGACATATACAATCTTACTAGTCGTTAACTTTCACTTCTTAGTTTAACATTTCTATTTTAAAGCCAGCTTATCTTTAAAACCAGTATCTTTAAATACATGGGGCAAATTCGCCTCTGATATCAAATTTAGCCCTGATTTTGAATCCATACTTTTGTAAATTTGTAATTTCTTGCCTTAAGCAGCAATAAGAATAATATTTAGAAGTTTAGTGAAGATATTTCTGGGTTTATTTGTTGAAAATGTGTTCGATCTGAGTAAGCAGAATCCTCAGGAAAGTGAGCGTCACAAAAATAACTTCTTACTAATCGTATTTCTGTTTGTTCAGTGTCGTTTTTTTAAAATATTATGCAGTTTCTTTTCTTTTTGCTTGCTATGCTAATAACTTCCCTGTCCTCTTCCATCAACCTATCCTGCTTCCTTCTTCCGTCTTTGGCTTTGGTGTGCATGAAATGTGAATACAGACGAAGGCCCTTAAGCTATAGAACTTCATTCAGTGAAAAACTCTTCCAGAGGACAAGGGCGGCAGGACGTGCATCAAGGTATAAAGAGCTTCAGATTTCCAAAGTTAAAATGTGGACAAAATAAACAATTTTGGCCATTTCTTGACCAAAAACATAGTAGAGGGATTGGCTAAGTTAACCTAAGATATTTTGATATAAAAAATGGATTTCAATGCATTTATTGTTCTTTAAGATTAAATTCTATTTAAGGAAAATATTTAATTAGATAACTCTCCAAAGAACATCTAAGTAAGTCCAAACCTAGAAGCATAATTTCCCGTACCTTTGGCATGCTTTCTCTTCAGTTTTTTGTTTTCTGATATATAGTACCTCAGGCAAAAGTGTTTTTTTTTTTCTATTTACAATATCTTGGTTTTAAAGTGATCATTTTCAAATCAGCATGACCAGTGGCAATTTGTTTTGCATTTGACAGCTGTGAGGGGAAGCATTTGCAGATACACAAACCTCACAGGTCACAAGTGATTTGGAATGGGCTGTGTAGCCTATACTCAGACATGTAGGTGATGAATCAAGTGATTACAGATTTGCTACCTTATCAGTTGAAACTGTAACTTACTCTGGTCTGTTTCAAAAGAAAGTAGGATAGCTTATGTTAAGTAATCTTCATTAGTACCGAATGAGCCTGTTTCAGTTTGCATCAAAGTTAAGTATGGGTTCTTACCTGGCAGCAGTGACTTCTTAAAACAGTCTAAACCCCCAAGAGTACAGCTTACAATCACAAAGCAGAACCATATGTGAAGACAGTAGACTGCTCCTTTGTGAGTTTAAGATCCATAACTTTTTTTTCTCATTATAAAAGATTTCTAGTATCTTTATACACTTTATAGATCCTCAGTAGTGCTTGCTTATTTAATCTTGAAGATAGCTAACCTTAAAATAGCATTGCCATAGCTCACTTTGTGTCCCTTAATAATGTTATGTTTGCTCAAAATATGAAAGTAAGAGTGTATAGTATGTGTGGTTAGTAGGAACCATAAATAGGAAATTAAATGAAGTACTAACTCAAGTATGTTATTCAAGTTCTTATTCAGCAATTCAGTATGACCATCAGTAAGTAATTGGCCTGAATTGATCTGTCTCATTAAAAATAAAAAGTTTTCTGTTTAATGAATTGTAGTATGAATGGAAACAGTTGTTGGAATCTTTGCACCATTAACACTACACTTAAAAGAGCAGGACTTCTGAATATTAGCTACTGGTACTTCCACTTTGCATACTCAATTTGCATTGTATTTCCTGGAAGATAGCTCTTAACATGACAACAGTGATTTTTTTTTTTTTTTTTTTTTTTTCCCCCCCCCCCCCCCTCTTACAGCTGAAATTATTTTGCCATGAATTCCTTAGTCTGCAATTTAGTAAATTTAGATTTTTTTTTTTTTAAAATCATTTTCTTTAAACTTTCAAGTTCCTTATTTCCCAGGAAATTCAGGTTTCTCTGGACTAGTAAATGCTAACCTGACAGATACTGAACTTGCTGTTACTTCCCTGTCAATGTTCTTCAGTTTTTAAACAGGAAGTTTAAAAAATGGTTGTGTTTGGTTTTGTTTTACAAAGTATACAAATATACTTTGTTTATAATGGACTCAAACATCACTTGTGTATACATCCTTCATAGAAAGAGCATAGCTGAAAAGTGCCTATGTATCTGTTTGAATTAGCTTGAATAGTTTTTCCTTACATTTCACATAATGAGTACAAAGAAGTTATTACCTGTGCTACATACAATCATTGCATTTACACTGATAGTGTCAGTTTTGGTGCAAATGTTGCATCAAACTGTTCAGGTGACTAAAATTTCTTTTTTTTTTTTTTTTTTTAAATGTCAGTCTATTGTAATGATCACATCTTGCTACAGAGTCTTTCTGAATTTGTCGTTGCTTTCAGTTGAAGAAATAAGGCTAATTTAAATGGGAATTATCTCTAAAAGTTAATGACTTTGTAGTAGCACACTGATATTATAGTTTGATAACCTGTGCTTTGAATATTAATTTTTTTGTAACACTTTTTTCAGGCTGTAGTATAATTTAATTCTAGAATGCACCCTCAAAATTAAGTTTCTAAAGACAAAATATAAGGAGCAGATGCTGTAGACTGTGAGTGCTGCAAACTCTGGTTTACAGGCTTAACTTTTTATAATCCCATCAAATTGAGGTTCACACAGTGAGAGATTTAAACTACAAATGAGATTACTGAGCTCAAAGTTATCACAATAATTAGAGAAGTCTGATTGAAAATCATTGACCACTTAAAGCTAATGGCTGTACTGCCCTGTGTAACGATAACAAAATGTAAAAAGGTGCCTACTGTATTACTTTCTTCTTCTTGAATAGTTGGTATTCTAGTTCTCTATATAATTCAGTGTAAGTATGCTTTGATCAGTTCTGCACATGAAGTCAGTGTTGAAATGTAATATTACTGCCTCAAAGAATTCTAATTTATCATTCTAGTTACTGTTCAACATGACACTTGAAAATATTTAAGTATTACTGGTTGTTTTGTTATTTTTAACACTTTAAACATCCATAGTAGCTCGTATCTTCTTCCTGTGTGTGCACATGGTATGTGTTTGTTCCAGATGAAAAAAACATATCTGAATCCCTATGTAAGTTTAGACTTTTTTGGCTATTTACCATTTAGAAAACCAGAATTTCCATTCATTCATTTCTGTTAGACTTTTCATTTAGTTCTTAGCCTGTGTTTCTGTTTTCCACCTCTCCTTTTTCTCTACATTCCCTTTGCAGTTGCAGTTTCTTACTCAGCTGCCTTCTTACCTGCTGCTACTCTGACTTCTTGTGCTCAATCTGTGTATCATTTCTTGTCTGCTTTAGGTGGACTATCTTCTGTTTTCTAATTTTAGTGACCAGTGGGGCCTTTTGTATTGAGGGCAGCATAATGTTACACAGGTATCAGATCAGTTGAAATAGTGTGTATTTATGGAGAAAAATAAGAGGAGACTTCATTTTGGTTTGAGTTATCGTTAGGTTATACTTAAAATTCAGAACTTGAAATATTTCAAGAGCTGGAAACAATATTGTTGATTTAAGTGGAAGCAGGATTGGGCTTGTATTTCATTTGTGTACACACATACATATTCTAATTTATGATAAATGTCACCTTAACCTTCAAAACTTTTTATTTACAGGAAATGTTATGCAGTGAAAGTAACATAAGAAAAAGGTTTTAACTAAAAAAGCTGTTGAATAAGTATGTTTGGTTTTTGTTTTTTTTTTTTCTTTCTAGGCTTCTTAATCATTCAGTTTCAGTAAGCACAAGGAACAGGCCGAAGCAGCCAATGGAATCTGAAAAATGGTATTGATATATTTAAATGTTTTACAGCTTTTAATATTTTATTAATTTAATTTTTATATTTATTTTGTGTTGCTACTGCCATCTTCTGTCATAATCTTTTTAGCTCAAGATGAAACAGAAGCTACAGAAATAGTCTGTTCTTGAGCTTCTTTCTTCCAGATTAAAAAAAAAATATGTTCTTTAGAGCTTTTAGGAAAGCTGATGTCATCCAGAAACTAATTTGTGCATCTGATTATGACAGCAATTCAGGTGCCGAAAGATAGGTATTCAGTGATGTTTTAGACATCCAGTTCCAGTCTAGAAGGTCACATTTCCCAGAGGAAACAGTCCTGTGCAGGTGTGTTAGATCCTGTGCTACGTAAGGTGGCACTGTAGCTGTGATTAGGCATCTAAATTTTCCTTCCTATTAGTAAAATGTTTTTCCTTTCCCTATTCGTATAAGCTTCTACTTGACTGTATAAAGCTAACAGTGAAACGAAGTGTGTCAGTCTTCCAAAAGTTTAAGAATAGATGTTTTGTCAGCTTTGAACAAAATGTTTCACTGGTTGCTTTGAGGAACAAAACAATGAAGGTGCGTTAGTAATGGCTAAAGATCAACATGCTTAAGAAAAGCTTTATCTGAATAAAGTACTGGAGTGTGGAAGACCTATTGTCAGCATATGGTAAAGGAGAGTGAAATATGATTTGATATTTTAGTCAAATAAAAATACTTTTTAGCCACATTGTGATGTCCTTATACAGGTAGCCAAAAATACCATGGTGCTGAAGAGCAGCTGCTTTTTAATAGCGTTCACTTTTTTTGATATTTTAAAGCAACTTGGTTTAAAAGTACACAAAAAGGTAGTAAATTTCATCATGCCTTTCATCTTAATTTTTAGTGTCTCAACAGATGAAGTGAATTCCCCAGTGTCCCCATACAGCTGGCAGGTAAATATCCAGATGTAAATGTGGTGGTTTCATATCTGAGTGATTTGTTTTGGTTTTTGATTTTTTTTATTTCTGGCAGAAAAATTTTATATATTCATCTGGTTGCTTACACACAGTTATTGTATGTATGTAATTGTGGTGGAAAATATAAAACTTTTGAAGAATTTAAGCTTCAAGATAATTTGTCTTGTATGTAATGGAGACCTTTTATTTTAAGAGCATATGGTACTAGCTTTAAGATCCTGAAACGAATGAGACATAAATTTTACTTACTTGGTTTTAGTATTTTTTGTTTTAAATACAAATTTTATTGCCTCACCATAATGATGTTTTGAGGGGGTTTTTTGTAATTTCTAAATGGTTTGGATTATGTAGACCTTCCATTGCCCATACCTCACTGAGAAACTTGCACTGCTTTCAGTTTTCATAAAATAGACATATTCATTGTTATTCTAAGAATGAATCTACTTTAGATGTCTCTTCAGAATATGTTGCATAATACAATACTTTGAAAGAGAGATTTCTTTTACAGCTAGTTGATGTGCATAATCTTTCAGATAGATAGGAACAGCAGACAAATACTTAAACTGTCTTGTTGTACCCATCCTTTTCCTGTGCAATGAGTATTCAGATTGAGAAATTAGATGTACTAGTGGCTCACCACACTTCTGTTTTTTTTAAGTTATTTATGGCAGCCTTAGGTGGTTTCCTAACATACTTGCAAAAAGTAGGCTCGATGGCAGTAAAGGGTGTTAATTTTCTTAAGAATTATTTCATTCATTCTTTTTCTGCTATTAAACATGTTTTAGGATTTAAAAGGAAATAAGTGATTTCTACAAGAATCACCATTAAAACTAATAACCCTTCCCTGTCATAAAGCTAGATTATGAGAGGTAAACAATTCGGAATTGTAGTTCATAATAATTTGTGTTAATGCACGTGAGGTGTAGTTACCTTTTACATAAAAATACTTCTGAACCTTATAGCCGCTGGAAAACCAGAAGGATTCAATGGATGAGCAGCATTGGCCAGAAACACAGCCAGTGATTTGGCAAAATGAAGAAAGAAGGAGAAGTAAACAAATTAGAAAAGAGTATTTCAAGGTAATGGGAGGGAGTGTGGGTGGGTGATGCTTTTTTAATGGGAGTAGGAGAAACTATATAACTAAGTAAAGGTAAGAAAACCTCAAAGGTTGTCATGCTTTTAATTTTGCATGTAACCTGTAATTTTTTATTTGACTGTACATGTATGTATGTATTTAGGGTAATGTGAGAGTGTGGAAAATCAGGAGGAAAAAATCAACCAAAGACTTTGTTTAAATAAAAGAAGGTAATTTACTGTTGTCTTCTGGTAAAGCCAGAAACTAATCTTCAGTCATTTGTCATTCCTCATCCATTTTGAGGGAATCTTTTTTTTTATGTAATCCAGGGAAAATATACATCACCTTTTTGTGCAGCATGGCTATAAGAATGATTTATGCATTTTGTTTCTCAGTGCATTAGTTTGCATTTTAGAGAGGAAATTTTCTGTGTATTAGTTTGCCGCTGTAGTGTGTACCATTGGTCAGCAGATGTCAGTGTCTGCACACTGCAAAACATACGCAGTTGTAGCAGCATTAGGTAAAATTTGTTTTGGGGTACGGTAGAGAAATGGGAGAATTCTGACCAGTGCTACGTTGAGTTAAAATTCAGTTTGTCACTTATGAAATTAGTTTCTTGAGTCTTTTCCCAACAAACATCTTTAAGAAATGCTAGGGAACTTGGAAGAAATTAAATTCTAGGGAAAAAAGAGCATGCCATAGAGCTCAGATATGTTCTTGTGATTATAAACTTTTTTTTTTTCTCAAGAGTGTACAGAGTTGTATTCTAACTTGAGTTCTACTGACCTCTTTCCAGGGTTTTCATCCAAAAATGAATTTTGCCCTGCAGCCTTTCAGGGGAAAAACTTTTCAGTAAAACAATTCAGTCATTTGACTCATTAAACAGTTGTGCTATCAGTACAGAAGACCTGCATTAGTGATTCCTCATAACTTTAAAGGATGTCTTTAAATGCTAATACAGTTTTCAGGTTTGAGCTCTGTGATGGAATTAGATACCTGAAATCACATTACTTGCAGATATAGACATGTCTCAAAAATGAATTAAACAGGCTGTTCTAGTAACAAAAAAATACTGTATCACTGATCGTTTCATTTGCAAAAACAAGACAATAAACAAGTGAAACAAAATCTGTCTTCCATGACAAACTGGGTGGGAAAAAAAGGTACCACTGCTGTTCTGAGAAACCAGTGAAAATACAATTTATATTGTGTCCTTGTTTTCTTGGCAGAAAAGCTCATTGAATAATCATATCTGTACTGCCAAACTTTAATATCTTGAGAATACATGCCAAATTACTGCAATGGGCGGCATTAGAACTGGGAAAATGTGCTTGGATCAGCATCTGGAAGTATCTATAGAGTATCTTTATTATATAAATTATATGTTTCTGTTGTGCAGTTGTACTGGGCAGCAGAAGGGTAGGAAAATGCCCATGAGAATTAAAACTCCTTTTCTTATGGCATTGCACTGAAGTCTTGCTGGAACCTGAAGTCTTTGTTGCATTAAATATGTAAGATGAATCTTACCATTGAAGACAATTTTATCAACCAAAATGCCTTTTTTTTTTTCTCCCTTTTCTTTCTCTCTGGAATACTTTCTAGTTGTTTTGGATCCTACCTACATCCAAGCTGAAATTCTTGTTAGCATATCCACAATGAAAAAGAATTACTCTGAGCTAGCTTTGATAGAGTTAATTATGGTAGAAAAAGACCTTTATAAACAGAAGTTGGCAGTGGAGGTCTGCAGGACATAGAAAATTAGGCTTTGGTTATCAGCTGCCAAAGTAATATATTCTCTTGTACTGCAAACATACAGGAAATAAACTGAAGATAAATATCCTATCATGTAGATATGTAATAGGTCTCTATCTGACCCCATAAATACCTGTACTTTCTGCATAGTAAAAAAAAAAGCAAACATAAAACTCACACCAAACAAACAAATCAGAACAGCTACCAAATCAAACAAACAAAAAATATCCCCAATCCCCCCAAACCACTTAAACAAACAAAAAACCCACCAAAACAATCCCACAAACCAACAACTGACACTTTATTCAGTCACTCTTCCAAAGACATATTGAAATTGCAGAGCAGATGAACGGCAGTAGGATAGCTGACAAAGAAGCTGTTTGTTCTAGACTTTTTCAAGAGAGATGTCAACATTTTTGTCAGCTTCCTTCAGCATATAGTTCAAAAGCTGTTGAAAATTCAATGCTACAAAGCTGTTAAAATTTTACAATTCAACAGTGCTTAGTTATAACTTTGAAGAAGACAAGCATCTTCTGTGCATAACTAATAAATACAACTTTCTATTACAGAGCTATGTAAGTTTTTGTGTTTATTAATATTAATGAATGTAGTTGGAAGTTAGGTATTTCTTGCTTTTTAAGACACTCTTCTAACTAAAACCTATATGTACCCCTAGAAGTCAGATCTTTGAAGGAGAGCCATCATTCCAGTTCCATAGTCTCTTATTTTAGCTTTATGTGTTATATCATAAAGATGGGTAGGCTGGCCATATACACACAGTGCACTTATCAGAGTTTTGTAGTGATGGATCTTTTTAATTCTAGTGGCATAGTTTTTCCTGTTCTTTTGCATACTTGGTCTGCAGAGAATGAAATACACTTATTTTCTGCTTTTGTAAATTTTTTCCTTCAGTCCCTTCTTCATTTCCTGCACTTTCAGGATAATCAGGAAGTGGGACAGTGATGAAAGCATTGTGCAACAAGTCAGACAGACCTGTGGAAAAGCGAAAGGATGTGAGCAGGCTTTGAAGTTTTAAAGGAAATATTGATTTTTTTTTTTTTAATTTATTTTTTTACGATGTCAAGTCAATCTCTCAAAGTGTAAGCAATCTTAAAGTTATATAACAAAACATATTGTAAAAGTAACTTCCATGAGTTGCATAATTTTTTCTAACAGTGCTTCAATCTTAACAGTTGTTAAGATCTTTTCACTTGAATCAACTGTCATGTGTAGTCAGAGTTTACATTATAGAAGTAATTGAGTTTTACAATGCTCTTATCCTCTCATCAGTGTAACGAAGATCTTGACTAGCCTGGGAACTAGATGGGTTTTTTTGGTTTTATTTCTTTTTTTACTCCTTTGATTCTGTAACATGTTTTTTTTTCTCAGCAGCTTCACCACTAATAAGTAACATCTGAGTGATATCAAGCCATTTAGTTCAAATGAAAACCATACTTCCATTTTAAAGTAATAATTTTGTGTGTTTTGCAGTATAAGTCTTCCAGAAAGAGTTCAAGTGGAAATGAAAATGATGAGGTGAGAAATAGTAATTGTGTAAAATATTTAAAAATTGTTTTATTCATTTGCCTTTTATGAACACCTACCAGCAACAGTCACAGAACAGGAGACAGTTGGCTAGAGTCCACACAAACAAACTTTCCATTCCAAAGCCATAACAGAAATAAGTATTATACTCTTTATTTGAAAAAAGTCATCAAGATTGTGTACTGGGGAAAAGTAGGACATTTACTTGCTTTGGTAATAGGAAAGTTAATTCACTTTTCAAGCAGAGGTAATGTAAAAGTAATATTGGACATAAACAGTGAACAGTTTTTCCTGCACTTAAGATGTTTTTAAATTTAGCTGCCAGTTTGTCGCATTCTTGACAAATGTTGCATGTCTCATGTATTGTGTATTCCATAGTTTCATATTTCTTGTTAAATCATAGTCTCCATTTTTATAATTTCATCTCTTTGATTTCTTTTTAGCAAGACAGTGATCATACTAATGTGTCTCCACAGTCTCCTGTGTCGTCTGAGGTACAAGTTTGTGGTTTTGTTTTTCACTCAAGAAACATTTCTTTGTGTGCATTACTCACCGGGTTTTCCATGCAGATAAAAAGCTGTTACTTTCCTTTTAAACTGCAGTTAGAAATTTTTTGTCATAATGAAAATTCAAAAATAAATAGAAACTAGGGACAGATATCACAACTTGTTTTTACCTTTACAACTATCTGATCACTCCTAGGTTTCTTCTTTCTTGACTGGTGTGTAGAAAGGTGTATTGCTTTGTCTCCATTATATTACCTAATGAAAATAGCTAATAAAACAAAAAGCAATTTTTCCATATTATGTAGGTGCCCCCTATGCTTTAAGCCATCCAGAGGATTTTAAGTAAAACTTGTGTTTTAATAGTTTATATTTCACAGGGAACTCTAAGTTACTGACACGTGTTAGAGAGTTTCATCCTGTACAGTTCTGACTGATGCCTTTGTGGTGCAGCCTTGCAGCTTCATTCACTGGTTGCTTTCCTTTTTAAGGAATGTACACGTGGTCTCACTGTGGCTGCACTAAACTACTGAGCTCTGAATAAAACATACCAAAGATTAATAACATTTCTGCCTCGTGTCAATAAGGAGCCCGAGGGAGCAGAATGAGAACATCTCCCAAATACAGTGAAATGTGTTGAAATCAGGATATCTCATGTGCATAACAAATTACTGAGTGCCTCCCTTTTTAGATGGTGAAATGAGAAAAACCTGATCTTCATAATTGAAAGTAAACATTTCTCAAGAAATGTTTTGATGCTAAGCGTTGGGAGGATGTTTTTATTTGCTTACAGCTGGCTTAGAACTCTGTTCATAGAATGGTTTGAAGGAGTTTAAAACAGTTTAGAGCACATTTTAGTTAATTTAGTGCTGCTTTTCTTCAGTAGGACAATTTTATCTGCAGGTAGTGAGGTTACTTTCATTCCATTTATTTTATACTGTCCCCCTCAAAAGAGTGTGTTGCAGTTAGGCAGAAGGATTCACTTTTCTTAGGCAAGCATTATTTAAACACTATCTTGATGGGAACAAAAGTTCATTCTTTTAATGAATGGAAGAAAATTGACTGTATTTCTTTTAACAGGATTATGAAAGAACAGATGGTAACACTCATGGTCCATTTGGTCTCAAACCAAGGTCAGGTAAGTTGCTGTTCTCTAATGTAGAATGATAGAACAGGTATTTATTTCCCGGACTGGAATAGATGGTAAGGATAGCAGATGTATGAATTGGAATAAATATGAAGAGAGACCACAGTACAGCAATCCACTCAGCGTATTTACCACAGGCATAGTAGTGGGAAAGACATAGACAGCTGCTTTGGCAGACAACTAATTGAAAGTTCCCCAAGTTGCACAGTGTATCTTTCTCTTTTTTTAATTAATTCTTATGTTTTTTTCCCTGCTTTATTTTGTTCATATTTAGTCAGTGTGGAAGAATAGGGAAACAGCATGCAATTGTTCTTGAGAACTGATGGCTGAGGCAGGAGGGTTTTAAGAGAAGCAGATTTTTGTAGTTCGTTCTATGAAAGGATGCTTTGAGCAGAGCTTTGCCAGCAGTTTTATGGCTTAGTGCTTTGTTGCACCCTGACTGTTCCAAGACTGCCTTACCCTCATCAGGAAGTTGTGTTGTCTAGGTAGAAATATATCTGATATCTAGGTAGAAATAATAAAGGGGTTTTTTGCAGTTACAGTATCCTTTTGTTTGCACGTGTCTGTGCATATTGGATGTCAACAGTGTAAAACACAGTTTGGAAAAGCCACTGTGCAGTCCTTTTTCCAGTTAATACCACTCTTCTCCATTTTTAAGGGAACAGTCTTTGTGCAAATTTGTTAAGAAAGAATGATCTCCACTCTTCAGTTTAATTTAATTCAGTGTTTACAGTAGCAAAGCTTGACCTCCTTAATACCAGCCTGCGGGCCCTCAGTAGCAGAGTAAGTCTGGCTGAGGTCATGCAAGTGGCTTCTTCAGGACCACTTAAGTCACTTCAGATTTGTAAGCAGTTGCATGAAACTTTTGTGCCAGAAATAGTTAGGTTAGTGGCATGTACCAGGACATGCCTGACTCATCTTTTAGACATTTCCAAGTTATCTACATCCTTGGCTGCAGGAAGGTGCAGATTTAATTGGAGGAAGCAGGATTAGGACTTCTCAGCTCATCTTTTCTCAGTGCGATAGTGGGCTTCCTAGGAGCCGCTGCCAGCTCACGTCTGTAGAACAGCAGCACCCCTTTCACTCAGCCTAGGAAAGTGAATGGCATTTTGTTTCTTAGTTACAAGCCAAAATCTCTGTGGTTTTAGATGCTTCCATAGATACTGTTGATAAAATGCAATTCTATTTTTCTGTATACAAACTACATATTCTCATAATGTGTAAAATCAGAGCAGTGATTTCAAGAGTTTCTATAAAATTTCTAGTTTTTTTGATTGTTAGATCTCTTGCTAAAATCCAAACTATTAGAAACAATATAGAAGGTTCTAAAGGTGTAAGTATTGAATTTTTTTGCTCAGAAGCGTGAGGTAAAGTACTTAAGCATACCGTGGTATTGCTAAAGAAGAGTTTTTATCTGCCAGTATTCTATAAAATAATAGAATTGTATTTGAAGACTTTCTGACTATGAAGAATAGTAAAGTGAAAAAGTAATTATTTAACAGACCTTCTTTTTAAAGAACTCAACTTTATTTTTTTATATTTATGTAAAATTATTTTAAAATATTGTATATTAATTATAATATTTATTATCAAACTATCAACATTGCATTCATTGATTATATTTATTATTACAATATTTCTAAAAATAACATTAATTTCCTTTTTTTTCATCTTTTTAAATTCTTTAATAAGCAATCACTGTGTCTCTGCATGTGCACACCAAATACACCTGACATGTGAATATGTGTGTGTACATATATATATTTCAAGTCTTTCATTGTAAGTTATATCAGGGAGTTCTGTCCCTTTTTTTAGTCTCCATAAAGACTTTATACTTGATTAAAAGTAAAACACTGTGAAAATACTTTCAAAGCTAGATTGCAAGATATGCTTGGAAAAGTGCAAATGGAATGTATATCTCAGAGATATTTGAGTATCAAAGTCAATTCTGTCTCTGTATTTCCTAGTTATGCATTTGCACTTAAGTAAGTTGATCTGTGTATTTTATTTGAAAGTAAGTTTCTTAAACAGCATCTTTTACATCAGCATACTTAAATATATTTGTTCTGCAGCTTTTTTCCCATTTTTATCCTTGGTGGTAGCTTTTTAGTCATTGCATTTTTTTAATCTGAATTCTGAAAACTAACTTACTGATGTCTTACAGCTTTCAGCCGTGCATCTCGCCAGGACTATGGTGCAGTGGATCCTGGATTTACGATGAGGAGGAAAATGGAGCATTTAAGGGAAGAAAGGGAACAAATAAGGCAGCTTCGCAATGTATGTACCATTATTGACTATATGGGTGCAGTGCATTTAGATTGCTCTGTACCACAATTTAAACCTTTATTATAAAGAACTGCAGATCATTATGGTTGGACAAGGGCATATCTGTAGTGATATTTCTTCCTAAGGAATTTCATGTAACAGGCTACACTGGTACTATTGTTGGTCCAGCCAATGTACCAACCAGGAACTAAAAGGGGTTTTTTTAGCTGAAAAATGAAATTAAATGAAAAATTAAATTTTTTTTGAGGTTTCTAGGTTTTCCTAGGGAGACAGTAAGTCTGCTTGTGTTTGCTGCTATTTGACCTGAGATTTGAAGAAAGATGGTTGTGGTCTTCTGTATAGCCAAATGCTTTTTGAGTGTAGAAAGTTGCTGCAAGTTACACAATACTGAAGGGGATCTAAATTTCAGACTTCCAGTAAGTTGTTTTCTGTATAGTTCTTGAGAACTATATGTATTCTTGAGAACTCAAGATAATTAATAGTTAACTGTAAATCATAGCAGCTCTGCTTTCCAGGGCAATAGTGGTTTGGGGTGTGACTTCTCTGAAGGCTGTTTCTGTCTTCTGGTTCACTTCCTGAGCAGTGAAGGCTTGTTAATGAGGTGGGAAAAACCATTCCCCACTTCCATTCTCTGTTTTGTAACACAAGTGTGGGCACTTGGCCACCCTTTCCTCTGCTATTTAACTGTTATTGAAATAGCCATGCCCAAAGTGGTTGTTTCCCCTCTTTTTTTTTTTTTTTCTTCCTGTAAGGCTGTATGATTTCAACCCACAAATTCTGCACACTAACAGCTGATCAGATATTCAACCTAACATTTCTGTCTTTAAATTCTGTGCTTTTCTAGTATGAGTAGCAAGTTCATTGTATGGTTTGGAGAGCTATGTATCCTGGTAGTTGTTGGCTGAATGTCTTTCTCAAAGTATGTAGTTATGTCATTCAAAAAAACCCAACCAAGCAAACAGAAAAAACTCAAGCAAGGGAAAAGTTAATGATAAAGAGAAAAGGATATTTGAACTCAGTAAAATGAGTTGACTCCATTTACTTCACTCTAGTATTAAAAATGTCACTTTTAAACTGAATTATTTTAAATACTCTGGATGTAAAATTAAAAATTAGCTAATGTTGAAGTAACTTACTTATGGAATTTTTAATAGAATCTTGAATCAAGGTTGAAAGTAATTTTGCCAGATGACATTGGAGCAGCGTTGATGGATGGAGTGGTCCTTTGCCATTTAGCCAATCATATAAGGCCACGTTCTGTTGCCAGCATTCACGTACCATCGCCAGCAGTGGTAAGTTATTTATCTCACTTTTATTGTATCTTACATGAAAACAAATTTTTGAACTTCGATACTGAAATATCATGAATCATATTTACCATATTAACTGGCTACGTTACTCACTTCAATTTTTCTGCAGTGAGCATTAAACGAGACTCAGAAGTTCAGTTTAAATGCTGTTTTCATATGCTGAGTCTTCATATAATTTCTTTTGTGTTTTAGCAACTATTACTGAATTTGCATCAGAAATATACAATCCTTCCCAAATGTATGATGAAGATCTAACATCTTGTCTTTACAGCCTAAACTCAGTATGGCAAAGTGCCGAAGAAATGTCGAAAACTTTCTTGATGCTTGTAAAAAATTGGGCGTTCCACAGGTATACTAATTGCTTTATTGATTTATTATTAATAACCACAGAAAATGTCAGAAAATACTGAAGTTGGGTTTTTTGGGGGGTTTAATTCAGGTAGCAATAGTGATTATAACACTGATCAGGGAATGTGAAGATATGAAAAGAAGTCCCATTTCTGGCCTGTGGCATGGAATTGAGGAAGCTACTTAGAGTTTCTAGTCAGTTCCTTATAGTAAAAATAATACTGACCTCCTTGTAAATTAAATAATCATCTAAACAAAAGAACCGGTGTGAGAAGGTGATGTGATACTTGAAAGTCTTGAGTTTAGCAACTCACTTTGGCGTGGATTTCAGTGTCTGAAACTGAGCCAACAGTGCCTATCAGCCTGTTTTTCTTGCTCTGCTTATGAAAAGGAACAGTGTCTTTGGCTTTATGAAATTAACAGTCTTTTTTTGTATCTTCTGATGTTGTCATAGTTTAACACTTTAAACAGGTTTTAAATTTAGTTTCTGACCATTCTGTAACTGTAGAGAACCACATGTGAAATTTGCCAAAGACATTCTCTATGCAAGTGTCTTGCAGTGATGTATGTGTGACTTCAGAGAGAATGCAGTTGTTACCCACCTTGGGGGGGAAAAAAGTGAATGAAGCTTGATACATGTTCCACTTTGTTTTGCAGGAGAGACTTTGCTTGCCTCATCACATTCTGGAGGAAAGGGGTCTGGTGAAGGTTGGCCTCACAGTTCAAGCTCTGCTTGAATTGCCAGCGTTGAAAGTATCTCAGCTTTCCTCCATGTGACATGGCTTCTTGGAAGCTAGACAACGTACTATTCGCTCTGTTGATTTGGATTGCTCTGAGGCAGTTCAGCTTCCTACATGGGAACATCCAAGCCATCAAAAACTAGTATCTGTCCAGATGCTGTAGAGAGCCTTATTTGGAGTTGTACGTGAAAACCTTGGAGTCAGCTGACAGTTCAAAGAACATAATTATTCCTTTTTTCCTTTTGTAATTGGATGCACAAAGAGATTGTGGTAGCATCAGTTTCTCTTTCTGGTTAATTTAAGTTAAAAGCTGCCATTTAACATCTCACAGTGTTACAGTTAAATGTTGTATTTCTTTTCCTACATCGAAAATGTTGTTTGAATTATTTTAGAAGTACAAAGCACACCCTCCCCCCCTTAATCTTTCAAGTCAATCATTTGATTTAAAGGTAAGACGAAAATGAAGTGATGGTATGATGATAAAAATGTGAGCAACTGATCACTTGTAACCCGCTTTCACACTCTCAGAAAGCTTAATATTTGCATTCTTTTTTTTTTTTTCTTTTGCACTCTTGATTGTAACTTACACACTTCTAACATTGCCAGTATTTAGTCCAAGTGTATGGTGATTCCACAAAACAGTATATATTGGGAAAAGGACACATTTTATTGGTTTTTTTTCCAGTCTTCTAGGTTGGTGCCAAATATTTTTTTCAGTTGTACTGTAGATTGTTTACATGTGAAGTGCCTGTGTAATTGATAATTCTTAATAGTCTTAAACATTTTTGAAATTTCTTTGTTTAAAATAGATAAAATGGAAATTTTTAAATATTTTAATAGTTTTTTGTAAAATCAGTGCGTGAAGATTTAAGTAATACTTCACGCTTTTGATGTTGGATGTTTTAAGTTTGCACAATTTAATTGGTTATTTTGTTGTCTGATAATTAGAAAATACTGTAAATACTTCTTATTTATGATATTTAATTTGATAATACCTAATCTCTTTTGGTTTAATGTATTGTTGGACAAAAAAAAAGTCTGCTTTTCTTTGTTTGAGACAAACAAATATACACGGTGAGTACGACATGAGGACTAGTGATGCATACAAAGTAATTTAGGACATTTTGATAAAACTGCCAAAATCTCAGGTTTACGCTGTGACTTTCAGGATTTTGTGTAATATTGCTCCTGATCTCACATTACATTTTTACAAAAAGTATATCCATAATTTAGTTGAGAAATATCAATGTTTATCTTTTTAGTATTTATGGGGTTAATTGTGTAATTTACACAAGTGTGGTATAGCACACATATCAGTTTGTACAAATGTCACTGTGCTGAGACATTAGACTTTTCTGTATAAATGTGAAAAACAAAAATTTCCACTGTGGTGGTTTTTTGAAACTTCTAAGTTTATGTATTTGTTTGCTTCTGCACAAATTCTTGGTGTTTTGAGAACATTCTGAAACCATACACAGTTGAGCTCTTCTCCAAATAAGTTGAAAATAATTTCATAATTTTAGTAATACAATAAATCTGTTTGCCTTAGTTTGCTCTTCATGAAGAGTTAGCTCAATTTAAAAAAAAATAAATTCTGACAGTCACAGATTATTTATTTCAGGCTAAGTTGATTTCGATTGAGGGATATGTTTGGCAAGCATGTAATGAGATTTGATTCTGTTCTTTCCAATTGATCAAGACCCCATGTAATATAATTCATAAGAGAATAAGGGAAGGGGTATCATTGACTCTTTACTTCATTTACTATAGTAAAATCAATAGCCAAGAGGGAAAAAAACCCCCTTTTTCTGATGACAAGATTTTTTTTTTAAGATATATTATTTTTAAAGCCATTGACACAAGCTGATTCATGTGTAATAGTTAAAAACCACTATTATTTATATAGTGTTTTCGTAAAATACAGCTCATGGAGAGGCTGGTGTAAAACTTAATTTGCAAAGTCCTAGATGTAAATCTTAGGTTACGTAAATACTTGTTTAAGGAAACTGGATTGTTTTGACCTCTGAAATATATTTCAAATCTCTAATTGCTTTTAAAGGATGCACAAAATACTCATTTTAGCAGTTTCAGTCCCTATTTGTCATTAAAGGCAATATCTGAAAAATCATGCTCAGACTGAAATGAAAGAGTAATATAATTAATTAAACAAAATGCTTGTTGTCTGCTGCATTTGAAGAATGCAACCATTCAAAAAGAGTAAGTTATTGTCTTTCAGTTCCTCGCTATGGTATTTGACAACAGCAACAAAGTTTCCTTTTGGTATGTTAGCCATAGAATTGATAACGGTAAATTGTCACTTTCAGTTAACAGGCTTCATCTGATGTACACTACTATTTTATTGTCATATTTAAATATGTTTTCTGATCTTAAAGTAACTTTTTTCCTACTAGAACTAAATTTATAAAGTTATATCACAGTGTAAACATTAAAATTCCCTTGATGTAGCATGCCAGATGCTTACCTTTTTTTTTTTTTTTAAGCTTATCTTATTTCCTAAGTAACTTCAAAACTGGATATGAAATTAATATACTCATTTTAAACTATATCTCTGAAGTTGAAAACTACTAAAATAACATTTTTATTTTTTTTTTAGTACTCTGGAATTCTTCCATACAAACTTGCTAGAAACAGTCTTGCTTTGCCATTCTTTGGAAATTACCACAACCTTCATGCTTATGGGGAAAGATAATAATGACTCTTCCAGGGCTTCCTTTTTAGCCTTGGAAAGATTAAGGCCTTCTAGTATCCTTATGAGCAATCTGAGAAAAGGTCTACTGTGTCTGGATGAATTTTTTTCTCATCTTTCTTTATCTACTTTAACAATAATAATCTAAAGCCTTGCTAAAATTGGCTGTTCCCATCATGATGGTTTTTTAGGAGCAACTGCAAAAGAGATGCTAAAGTTTTGAATTTTAAGTTTTAATTTTAAAGCAACCTGTGGAAATTGTTGTCTTCCCTGTAGAAGAATTTGCCTACTATCTCCTTTCTCCCTTTCTATTTGATTCCCAGCATCATCTTATTTATTTTTGTTTATTCACAGATCTAGTTAGTTCACATTGTTCTTTACTGCATGCCACTTTCCTCCTTTCTCTTCACCTTTTTTGTTTTGAAATTGCTCCAGTGGCATTGGTGACCTGCTGTGATTCCAGAATCCCTGCTCACAACATTTAGTATGTTTGAGAAACCCATTTCCTATTTTGTTTAGGATGCAATGTCATTATTTAATCCTTGGTACAGCTGATAGGGTGGTTAAAAACAGAGGCTTGCCAATTCCTATTGTAGTCACTCAGTTTTTACTTTGCACATGAGGAAAAGTCGACAATAAAAGCTTTTAGGAAACTGCATTAAGTTTTCCTGATAAATTTAAGAGTTAACTAGGGTGCTTTTGTTATTGGGAACGCTGTACAAAGTTACTGCAATAATGTGGTATGAACTGTAAATTACAAAGTGAATCAACATACTGACAGGGCTTCTGGCTTTGTGGGGTTTTTTTAAGTCATTGGATGCAGTATGTCACACATGAGTGATCTTTCATTTAAGCAATAATGTACCAGATATTGTGAGATCTTAAAGCAGTGGCATTAAAATGATTATAAAGTGTGGTGACTTCCCACACTATCTCAGAAATACTTTACATCTATCATGTAATACTGCTACTCCAGTGTGCGAGCTGGGGCACTGCTGGGGATACAGCCAAGTAGTAAAATTGTCGTAAAATATAGAGGAATAAATTTGAAACAATAAATAAATAAATATGACTGGAATCATAAGAATTTCTGGGTTAAATCCTGGCTTCACTGAAGTCTATGCAAGTTTTGGTCTTGACTTCAGTAAAGATTTCACCTTTTTGATTTATGGAACACCTGAGCTGGAGACCATAGCAAACATGGCTTAAACTTATTTGACACTAACTGTGCTTTAGTGTCAAATTCTTAACTGAAAATAGTGATCTCTGGTAAGTCAAAGGAAACTGTAAACTATTACACTGATTCATTTATTTAATACACATTTTCTGATTATGCCCTATACAGTATTAAGATGGTAGGAAAAATTACTTTGAAGTACAGCTTTCATGCTATGGGAGGGAATGTCATCTCAATAAAATTGCAGCTGAGGACTACCATCAGGTATTCACTGCACTAAAAACTTCAAATATCTTATCTTTTAGTGGCAGTCTTCGATTTTGACATAAATCTGTAGCCAAATTCAAACAAAAAAATGAAAAGGCTTCAGTTTTCAATAGAACTGCATTTCCATGTGTCTTCTCAGTATGGAAGAGAAAGGGTAAAGATCTTCCTTCTGCTGGTTTCTTAAATGCTTGTGTGAAAGGTAGCTGTTGTATCTAATTCAGCTGCAGTCTGCCTGTTTATCTTGGATGTGATCTGTATACCAGTGCAGAGGTAAAGCACGTTAATAATTGAACTGATTTCAGCTGAAAGCAACTTGTGGGAGTTTTTATCACTTTCTGCAGATAGGAGATTATTTTGTATTGGTAAATCAAATTTCTATTTTTCCTCACTAAGTGTTTCTTTGAAGAGGTGATTCATATTGAACAGGGATGTCTATTTGTAAAACAAAAGTAAAAAAACCCAAAACACCATTTTGCAACACAAGCAAAAATGGTGAAGTATTTCCTGTTTACAGGTGACTCTTTGGAATTTAAAATAAATAAATAAATAAAATAACTAAGACCAGGAATGGGAAAGGTAAAGTAGAGTTGTCCAAGGAGAGAGTGCTCTGAGTTTTTCCACATTGAATCACTTCACAATTAAAAGCCTTTAGATTTAGTAGAGAAATAAATAGATGTTTTGTAGCTACTTCATACTGAGGGAAGTGGATCCTTAAGTACACAGAGCTTTCCATAGAGGTTATAATAACAAGAAATTTGGCATCTTTGTTTTCCTCAAGACTGTATTTTGGATAGCTCTATCCCAGTGCTGCAGAAAGTGTTGTTGATTGTGCAGAGAACACTGCCCATCCAAGCCCTGGGCAGGGTACCTGGCTGGTGCCACTTGCACTACCCTCTGGCTTTGTAATGGTGAGACTGGCCTGTGTGGTGAAGGAAACGCTTCCTTGCTTCATGCTCTTGCCTCGTACTGCATAGGCTGCAGAATTCTTCTAAATAGATCTTTGCAGTCTGAATAAAAACACTAAGGAAAGCAGTAACTTTACTTGAGAGTAATACATTAGTAGATGTTTACCAATATTTAACTTCCACTGGCAAAGAAGGATGTAGTGAGACAAGAGGAAGCTTGCTCAAGGAACTACAGAACTTCACTGATTAAAAATTGCACCATGACTCTTATCAGGTTAGTGTGTCACTCGTCCTCTTGCTTCAGTGAATCAAAACAGGAATATTGTTTCTTGTTCCATATGGAACACTGTGGGATACATATAATTAATTTACAGATGGAGGGAAAGCCAAA